AATTTAATTTGCATTTGCAAATGCAAATGAATCCCAAATCTGAAGAAACTGCCCAAGTTGAACATCTGACAGCTGCTGGGCCCTGTTCATTTGGTGTTTTTCTATAATTGGATACCGTTTGCTCTGGCCAGCTGCATTTCCCTCGCCGCATCAGGTTGCGAGCTGAGAGACATGGAATAAAATGATTGCAGGTTGCGAGGGGATGAATCGACGACTCCTTTTTTTCTCAGAAATCAAATGTCAAACACACATTGCTGGATGTTGGTGAACCAGGGCAAGACACAGCCTAACCTTGACAGACCTCTACTACTGAAGCAGCCTGCCGCCCCCCTACCTTCACATCTAACTAGAGTCAGTCGGTTGTCCGTTTTATGTTACCTGCTGCTTTTGCCTTTGCTGCCGTCTTTCGGTTACGCTTCTTTTGCTTCTTTTTGCCTTGGGCTCGGACTGAACTGAAATCTTTAAGGATTTGTCGGCGGTGAGCTTCAATACTTGCCGTCGTTGTGGGTCCATGCACAGCTGACCTGGCTGACTCTGGCTGTCACTGGCTGCGGCTCCTTGTCTTGGCCGGCAACTTAACTTCCGGACCCGAATTCAATTTTCGTCGCATTTTATTTTCATTTCAATTCAATTTTCCTGGCGTTTAGGCACGACAAACAATAATTAGATGCGCCGTCGACTGATCTCCGCATACATTTACAATATGCTTCACATCTTTAGAATGCAGCCCTCCCACCACTTTGGTTAGTTTGTGGTCTGCCGATTCGCTTAGCTCGCTTCGATTTGGCCAAAGTGCAGAGTCAGTGAAATTAAATTGGATTTTCATTGTGACGAACTGGACAAGGCCGTTGGCCACCAACAGCGACGCCCTTGCGGTCATCCGAAACAGTCAAGTGCTAGTGCCTCAATAGCCGTAAACTTTTACTACTTTATGGCTTAAAGTTGAAGCCGCAATATTGCCCGCTTCACACTGTCGCGTGGGATAATGTTTTTTTAAACGATGCCGCCACTGGCAGATGGCGCACAATGGGATCATAATTGAAAGTTTGCAGTGGAAAATCGCAAAGCTATTGAATTCGATGAATCGATTTATTATAAAAATGTATTAAATGTTATCACGACTTAACATTAAAATGTTTTTATCTTTAAACAGTTTCCCAATGTATCCCACTTAAAGGTCGCGAAATATATTTGGTACTTATCGATTGATCTTAAAGCAATGCAGTCCATTTATAAACGTCACTAAACAATTTTTGTGTTAGCATTCAAGCTGTTATTCGATATTATTTGAGAACCATCAATTTCTTTCGATAATCGCGTCATTGTGCGATAGGCAGCTCCTTGTGGAATTGAGAATTGAGCAATTGCATGGAAACGCAATTATTCTGTGTACTGACTGTGCTCCAACAATAATTATTATTGATCGCATTTCAATTTGTTGTGCATTTTTTATGCCTCGCTTACAATAAAATCCATTTGCCAAGCCGGCAACGCCGGCGACGACATCAGCGACATCAGCGACATCAACGACGCTTTGCGCGTACATTGTTGATGATTTTACAAATGCGCTTAATGACACTGCCTTGCCATTTGGCAGCCCAGCAGACAGCCAGTCCAGGAGCCGGGGAGCCTCTCAGGCAGCCCGACAAATATTTGCTTAAACGCGCAGCGCTGTGGCTTGTGATTGAAGCTTAATGCATATGAAATGGTAATTACGCATACGCCGCATTGTGCAGCGGAAGCAAGCCCTACAACTTATTGTCGCTCATTTATCTTATTAATAGCTCAATGGAGGGGAGTGGCACACAATTTATCAAGCAGCTGGATAGAAAAGAAGCAGCTCATCGCCAGTTCAATTCAAGATGTCGCTGCGTTTGTCATTTCTATAATAAACTTTGGGCCATTGACTATATGGACTATAGAGCTGCCCTTCGAAGAATGAACAATAAAAAGCAGGCAACAGTTTGACAGTTCTTAGGGTTCGCTCATGGTCTAGACGCCGTAATTGTGGCCAACATATCGTGTGTTCACTTCTGCTTATCGAGCTCCCCTTCAGCCACAGCTAATAGCATTTATAGCACTAACTCAGCTTAACTACAATAAATCACCAAGTCGAGCCGCAATGCTTTAGTTTTAACCTGCCTTTTAAATCACAAGGTGTCACGGCGCAGCCCGACTGCCGCAATGGCCACCATTTTTGATGAGGGTCGCAGCAAAGTATGCAACAATTCAAGTAGTTGCCACTAAACCTGCCGCACAATGGGGTCAGCATGAACATGTTAGCGTCCTTTGCTTAATATGTATTTATTTATTTATTTCGAGTGTCTAACAGCTGTCCGCTTGTCACGGACAACAGTTGCAACTTGATTTATCAGCATTTACATAACTAGCATTTTTTTCATAGTTCATTTTTTAAGCTCTTGGTTGTTGCACGTTGCCCAATTAGACGCAGCAATAAATTGCTCAGCAATGTGAGGCAAGCCGGAAATAAAGACCGGCTTGTGTTTCTGCTTCTGGCCCTGGCTCTGGCTCTGGCTCTGCAGTGCCGTTAATTAAAAAGTTTTCATACAACTTAATTGAAATAGATCTCGATTGGAGTTTTTATTGATATTTTGCTTGCGCTGACGTTCGCCGTTTGCCGTTCGCCGTTTGCCTTTGCCGCTTGCCGTTTTGCCACTGCTCGAAATGAAACTAAATAATTAGTTTGCTGGCCTCTTTTGGGTAAACTTTCTGGCATTTGAAGTGGCGAAGTTGCTTACCAGACTGTTTGCCAACAGCTCAAGTGGCAGCAACAGCAACAGCAGCAGCACTCAAAATTGCCAGCAGTCGAAATGCCAAAACTTAACGCATTATGAGAATTTTGGCTCTTTAGCCGAATGCATTTGACATTTCGGTATATGGTATTTTATTTCGCAGCCCAGCTGTTACATAAATTTAAAACCAGGCCTTCATGGAGCGCATGCTTGTATAAACAATGTATTAAGAGCCCATCGCCTTGGGCATGTAAGGCGCATAAATAATACAGGAAAACTTTTTGTCAAAGCGTGCCCCAAGTGACACTCGAGGCGCACCCTTTCTGATAAGGCCAACTTCATCCAACAGCCGGACCAGGGCAATAACAAAATCAATATTAATTTGGTTCAGCCCCCAGCATCGCCATTGCCATTTACTTTAAATGGGAACTGAACGCAAGCACTGCACGCGACCGGCAGATACTCTAAGAAATATCCATTATTAAATTGATTTAGAATCCAAATTGTTGGCTCAACTAGCAGGAAAACAGTTTAAAAATGCCTGGCTGGCCGTACAGACTGACTATTCAGGACTTTTCTTGTAATGCTCTTGCCTTGGCCCGTCTGGGGCAATAAGCCCTATCAAGGAGTTTGCCATGTGACGGCCATCAAAGCAAAATGTTGTTTTCCAAGTTTTTTGCAGCAAGTTTTGAACGTGGCCCAGCTGCGACTTGGCGGCTCCTGCGGTGCTTGTTATTGTTGTTATTTACTATTAAAGTTTGCCGCGCCGTAGCAAGTATCGTAAACAGCTCGCGGCCAGTTGAATGGGATTTTTCTTTCAATTTGCATGCTGCAGTCGGGGATTGCAACATCGATTGGCTTTGCCAAGTTTATGGGCAACCGCAACTATTTCCATTTCCATTTCCATTTTCATTGCCCGTTTGCAAATCTAAATAAGCCTTATTTGCAATTAAATTTATTCAATTGCCACGCAAATGCTTAATTGAAGCGCCAATTTGCTTCAAACACACACACACAGGCACATAGCGCGTTTTTCGCATGTTTAATTTAAGTAATCAACATTAAGCCATGTTTAGGCAAGCGACAGCCACCAAAACCGCATTCCCATTGTATTTGCGGGTCAACCTATGCCACACACACAGAGGCACACACACGTGGACACTGGAAGCGCGGCAGCTGCTACTGTCACATTTACATAATTTCATTTGCAACAGATGCGGAGGCCAATTTCCAACAGTCGACACATTCCCATTTCATTGGCAATTCCCCCACAAAGCCAGAGCTGATACAAATTACGAGGAATTCACGTTTTTATAAACAATATTATATTCAACTGTTGATTTGCCGCGTCAGCTTTGTACGTAATGCGAGTGCTCACCCAGCACATGTTTGTATAAATATTCATCAGTTAATATCTATGGGTATATAAATAGTTGTGCTCTCCAGAGAGGGGAGGGTTGCGCACTGAATGACAGCCGGAAGCTCTTTCATTAATTAAGTTCGAATTCTTTTTTTTTTTGTGTATTTTTTTTTTTTGCATGCTGCGTTGACTCGCATGTTGCACGCAGCGCTCAGTGGCGCCGAGCGTAAGAGGGGCTTAAATGAGGCTTTAAGGCACAACATGCCTGTCTTTCTACGCCCCTGCCGCTCCTCCAGCAGAAGGAGCAGGACGATGACACAGCCACAATACCGCTCAATCTTGTTGAGTAAGCGCCACTAATTTGTTTTTTGTAAGGCCGTCGGCCGCTGTCCTCCCGCCTTGCTGTGCTTTTCCTTTTGGAGGGTGGGGCTGGTGCGTTGGTGGCATGCATAATTTATTGACCTCAAATTTGCATCGAATTGTGTTTGCACGTGTACGAGGCTGAAAGCCTTCGGTTTTCCCAGCCCTATCGCCCCGGCTTTATTGAGAAGCAGCAGCAAATATCCTTTTAATAAGCATGCGAGCTTCTAGGACGAACAGGCCAAGACTCCACTGATGGCAGCCATCGATGCAGGAACAAACCTCAAGGGTCCGCTATCCATACTGAAGGCTCGCCATGCAATTTGGCCATTAAAAATCATTAGCAAAGGTATTTTGTGTCCGCCTGGCTGGTTGCCCGGCTGCCTGGCTGCCATAGGCACGTGGTCGATGAAGTAACATTTTTGGCAGGCGAGTGTTGGCCCAGCTGCATGCTTCACACTGCATGCTGCATACTTTATGGCGCCAGCCAAGCATTTTTATTAAACGAACAGGCAGCAGGCGATGACATTGTGGGAGCTACAGCTGAGACCGGGCTTGTGTAGCAAAAGGAACACACACACTAACATACGAATCATACAAGCAATTCCTTAGCGACATGGACTGTCGCGCAGCCGGTTTGCCTGGCACTCCCAGCACTACCACGAGCACATTCGAAACCTTGACGGAGGAACTAAATATTGAGGAACAGTCCCAACTGAACCTGGACGATATCTATGACCAACTGGAGCAGATGAAGCAGCGTGCCTTGCAGCTTCGCAAAATCCTGGTACGCGAACAGCCAGCGGCGGCCGAGTATGCGAAATGCCTTAATGATATCGAATTAAATGGCTCCCAAAATGTCGCTTTGCATCAGGTGCAGCTACAAACAGTTAAAATAGTTGGTCAGGTGATAAAACTATCGCTACGACTGAACAGCGAGGGTAAACATCTTAAGAACCTGGATTGCGACTTACAGCATCACAAAAAACAGAAGCAAACGCTGGAAACAAAAATCGAAGAGTTGCACAAATGGCCGAGCCAACAGCAGCATCGGGCGGGGTTGTGCCTGGAGCGTTACAACGATCTCCGCATTAGGTGCTGTTCAGTCGCAGATTATCGTCGCTTTATGGCGGACCTGTACACAGCCTACAAAAATAGCTACAAAATAGTAATGCCCCTCAAATGCTATAAGGCAAACCGGGTGGACATTGACAAGCGATTGAAGAAGGCCCGCAAAATGTTGACTGACTCCTCGCAGACGCTGTTGCAACACAACAACGAATTGGAACAAATGTTGCATAATTATATCGAAATAGCTGGCATCATTCGTTTACCCAGAACAACGTGCTACTCGCAATTCGGCAGTTTGCTGCTCGTATATCATGATGCCAATGATGCGGATATAAAGAAACAAAATTCTTTAAATTAACCTATTATATTTCTTTTGTTGATATCTCTTAAGGAAGCCAAAAATATATGTATAAATATACTTATTTTATAATGACCAACCAAAAATGGAACAAAGTATTTGCTTGCAAATTCACAGCGCCGCACAACTCTTAACTCTGAACGAAATTATGCCGAAAACTTTGCATGTAAATCGAATTACGCAGCCCAACACACAGAAAACTGCAACTGTGGATAATTATAAATTCAGCGAACCACAGAACCGCAAAATTTTGTAATTCGAAGTGCAGTCCGCACCACATCCGGCCGCTGTTGCATAGTTTGCGCTAATTTTTGATTTTGTTGGAATTACATGCAGAATGTAGCATTCAAATATACAATTGTCATGCTAATTGTATAAAAATGATAAAGAGTTTTGCAAATATTTTGTTAACAAATTGTGTGGCAATTTAGGCCACAAAAATGCAATTAGCTGTACACGCAATTAACTGAAATATGTGCATGGCAAATGAAATTTGAGTGGTCAGCGGCCACTAGACATCAATTCTGGAACATTTGCTGCACTCCACACGCCAAACAAACACATCAAATGCAGATAACCAAAAATAATATTACGAATATTACGCATACGCCAGGTGAGGTCAACATTAAATTTGAAAGTCTCAATGTTCGAACAATGACAAAACTTAGGCCTGCAAATTGATGGCCGTAATGTCTTTGACAGCACTGAGCGTCATATCATTTTGATGAGGGTTCAATATTTGCTATGGTGTTGCTAGCACACTTGTTGCACCTTCACGCAAACACACACACGCACGCACACACATACATAAATCAACACAAAATGAACTTTTGCTTCATCAAATTGCTCAAACAAAGCTTTCTCCAAAATTAATTGGATGGACTCTGTCCGGTTCCTTAGCAACGTCACCTCGCTGTCGACCGCAAGGTTCACAAGAAAATTGACAACAACCTTTAGAAAGAGGCTAACGAAAGTTTCTAACCAGAAATGATTTGACCCGACAACAACTTCGGCAGGTGTTGGAAAATGTTAGCCTCGAATATAAAATTAATTAAATAAGTTTACATTTTTATGCACACCGCGCTGATGCCACCCACATAGCCGGTACATGTAATTTCCGACTCAGTCTGCATTGTGCGAAAGCCACCCAAAACTTTTATTGTCGCTGTTGAGCAACGCTGCCAGTTGCTAGGCTCCATGTCCTTTCGAGCAGCTGCTCCTTACATTCCTTCGGCTCCCATGTGTAATTACCGCATTCAGTGCGCACGCACTGCTGTATTCGTATCTGAATCCTTATTGTGGCACGAGCTGCACTGACATCTTTCTCTGTGCGTGTTGGTGTTGGCTTTTGTCACCTGTGCGTGTGAATGCCTCAAATACTTGTCCTGGCTTCAATGCATTTGCCTGAATACGCAAAAGTTGGACTACTTATTTGCCAACAAAAGCTGTGCATTTGTATGTGTGTGTGGTTGTGGTTGTGGGTGTGCATGTGTCCTATGCAGTTATTTATTTATACACAGGCAAATATTTTCTTAGGACAACACAATGGATATTTTGCTCTATGAAAACTAAGCTAAGGAAATATCATTGCCAATGATAAATATTAATATGTATTTTAATAATTTAAAAAGCAAAATTTCTAAGCGATGTACCTGATAAATCATTCATTAATCATGCGTATTTTCAACTCATTCGCTCCAACGTGTTATCTTGAAAATTCACTAACAATTCAATTTTCCATGTTTTTCGAGCCACCGGAAGTTTCCTTCCGTTGTACTCACACACCAGGCGCCACAATATCTTCTCAATCAATCATTTATTCATTAAGTCCTGGCCAGTCGGCCGCTCAGTGCAAGCACAAACTTTTGTATGCAAACAATTTGAGAATTTTAATAAAAATTCTTACGTTAAATTACGCTCAACAATCAATGTGTACCCCGCCTGCAAGCACACCCGCAAAATCCACTTGTCGTTGTCATTGTCCAACTGTTCGCTTAAGTGGTGTTAAGTATTTGAAAATCTGTGCTGTTCTATGGGCCCTCTCCTCTGCCCCTGGAGTCATCCTCTGTTTCGCTGTACTTGTGCTTGGCTCTGCGGCCGCATTTTGTTTTATTGTTTTACGGCAGTTGGCCAAATACTTTGGCTTGCAAAACTTTTGCGCCTGATGGTCATTCATTTGTCTGTGATTTACGAAGGCCGCTCAGCCAGGCCACCCACTAGCCAGCTCAGCTAGCCCACCCCCATTTAGCGATTTCACTAGCATTTAGTGCTATTGATTTATTGCTCCTTTGCCGCCTCCAATCTGCTCGAAGCTCTCGACAATTCCGAGCTCGCACACCGCCTCCAAGTCCCTCACGCATTGTTCCTTGGGCGTGACTATACAGAGCGGTTTCCGGCCCTTGTAATAGGCGCTGGCAATCGTCGCATAGCTAACTAGGCGTGCGTGCAGCCAGTTGGTAAGCTCGTCCAGGCACAGGCACTGCCAGGGATTACCCTCGATGCTGATGTGGCGCAACTGCGACAGAAGCTGTTCCTCCAGCACAGGCAGATATGTCAGCTGATTGTTATTGATTTGCAGCTCAGTCAACTTGTCAAAGGTACTTAGCAAATCAGCCTCGATTTCCATTAGCCTGTTCTCACTCAGAGTCAACACCCGCAGCCGACGCAGTGGCGCAAACATGCGAATGTCCAGAGAAGTCAACTTGTTGCGCCGCAGTCGCAGCTCCTGCAGGAAGGGCAGTGAGGAGAAGGCTAACGGATGCAGTTGGTCAATGTTATTGTTGCTCAGATCGAGAAAGCTTAGATTTCTTAGGACAAAGCCGACAAAAACATTGGCACCCAGTTGCCTAATGTTATTCTTCCTCAAGTCCAGCACCTGCAAGGCCGTCAAATTGGCAAAGACTTTATCGGGTAACTGGACGATTTTGTTGCCCTGCAGCTGCAGGGATTGTAACTCAGTCAAGCCCCGAAAGGCAGTTGGAGAGACCTTGCTGATCTGATTGAACCAGAGGTTGAGTGTTTCCAGATGATGCAGCCTGCTGAACACATAATCCTCCAGAGCCTTTACATTGTTGGAGCTGTAGTCGAGCACACGAAGCAATGGATCAACATCAGGAGCCGGACCCACGAATAAGTTTCGCTGAATTTCATAGATATTGTTATTGGACACGTTGAGCACGCGCAGCTGAGACAGCGCATAAAATATGCCCATATCCAGGACCTCCAGCCAATTACTGTGCAAATGCAACTCCTGCAACTGAGGTAGCCCGCGCAGACGGCACCAATGAAACTACAAAGGAAATGAAAGCTTCGAGCAGCCGTCACATGAATATTAACAGCTATTCAACCTACATCTCTCACATTGTTGTTGCTAATGGACAAATAACGCAGATTGGCATTGGAGCCTAGGGTGATGTTCTCCTGCTCGTTGGTGTTGAGGTCCAGAGACTCCAAGTACTTAAGGCCCTTGAAGGCATCGAACTCTACGTTGGCTATCAAGTTGTTCGAGAAGTTGGCATAGACAAGATTTGGCAACTGTCTCATTAGAGCACGTTCAATGAGCAGCAAGTCATTGTAGCTGACATCCAAATTGACCAAGCTTGCATTGTCAGCAAAGTGCTTTGACCGCAGCTCTTCCAGTTGACAGTGGGTTAGGTTGAGTCGCTGCAGCGATGCGAAATTTCTGAACCCATACCTGCCCAGCGTCAATCCTCCAGACTGTGACAGGTCCAATTGAAGCAGTTTCGACAGCTTGGGGAGTAGCTTATCGTCATTTTCAATTCCAGTGTGCTCGTTAACAACATTTACACTTTGCCAATCTTCTTGTATATACTGGCTTAGTTGCTCAAAGTTTTCAATATCGCGGCACTCATAGTTTTGATGTGATATCTGCTCACATTCCTGTATATCTTTTGTTTGTCCTACACGGAAGACGAGTAGAGCGGAAAGTAGAACCAATCTTGACAACATCTGAACTAGAACTAAAACTGAAACCCATCATATTAAGACACAGTGCGTAACTTTGTGTTTATTTTTAAAAAACTTGTTTTGGCGAATTGCTAGATGGGAAGCCGGTTTCCATGCAATGGAAGCAAGACAAGAGCATCGCATTATCAAATAAACCAGTTATTTATTTTTGCTATTTAAAATAAATAGATCATTTACAGAGCTTAACTTGGTCAAGGGCTATGCACTTTTTACAAATTAATTTCAATGAAATTAACCTGATATGGTTGGCAATCGAAAGTCCCACTAGAAAACTTTCTTTATCAGCTTGTATTCTCAGCTCTGGTTCAAGAGATAGCTCATGTGGGTCTTTCCATACTACCATTTATTTATGTGCATTATTTCTTATTAACATGTTATTTCCACCAAATAGACAAGGTTGACATTATTCACAAAAGGTTCAACAGATTGATCTCCGCCTCACCCACATTAAATGTTTTTTCGGTTAACTTGTGATTTTTTAAATGAAATATACTTTAATATTTAAACATCAACAGTTAAATTTATGTTTGTGTATGTCGGTCCACGCGATTTTGTTTCAATTAACTTTTATACGAGGAACATCCATATGCATTATATATATACATATTTATAGTTATTCAACAATCAAAAAATTATTTCATTCGAGTAGATAAATACATTAGAGGCATTCCTACAAAATATTTTGCAATGTAGACATAAATGTATATTTTTATATGTAGATTTATAAAAATATATATTTATATACACAAATACAATCTTGTACATGTATTGAATATATGAAGACACAAAACTAGTTAAAGTACATTGTTGACTCTGCATAGAGATTTTGATTTCTTTTTTGATTATTCGGTGTAGACTCACAAATAAATTCATTAAGATAGCTTTTCGTCGTATATTAATCACAAAGGCGATTACAAAAATGCTAACATCGTAGCTTAATACAAAAATAAATAAATAATAATATTCAAAAATGTAACCTGAGCTCAACAAAAATGAAGCTATTTTAAATTGCTTGTAGCAATATATTTTTGAAAGAGTGGATAATTTGGTTGATTTAAGAATGCGGTTGCTTTGGCCAAAGGGGACTAGTAAGCGATAGTTCACAGGGCTTCGATATTAAAATTTACTCCAAGTTGGACAGTTTTCTTGTCATAAAAGTCCAAGCAGAATTTAAAGAAACTAAAACAAATGCTAGAACATGCCTGGACGATCGGTCTCCTGGTTTCCGGACTTCTCAAAGAACATGGCATCCTAAAGAAACAAAATCAGAAGGTTAACAAAGTGAAATGACTCGACGTGTGGTGATGCTCTAGCACAATCAAAAGAAGCTGGGGCGTTGTTAGGGCTCATAAGATAAGTTTTACCTCGGCACCAACGAAATCTGCGATGCAGACAACTCATAATTTGTAAACGAAAGAAATGAATGCTGTACGACTTAACATGCAAATGTGCGGTTAGTGAAACTTGCGATGAAATAACAAATGCAGCTGCTTACAATGAGAAAAGTGGCTCCCAACAGCACGGCTTTCATGCGAACATCCAAGTCTAGTGGAAATGTTATCCCAAAGAAATCTGCATCCGTGAAGATTTCACGTGCTATGCCTGACCATTGCTTGGAAATCTTTCCCACCTTCTCCCCAGTTAGAGAGACCACCTGTAAAGCAAACAGAATAATTAATAAAGCGTTAGCTGTAATTGAATTTCAGCACTTACATTGAACTCTACGTCGCCGCAAAGCGAGAACGTGCAGAAGGGACCCTCAATGCGCAGCACCGTGTCGCCAATGTGATTCAATATGCGAAACGATGGGCTGCAAATGGACCACTCCTGTTCGATAGTGCCAATAATATTGCCGGGTGGAGCGGACACTTCCATAGTCTGCAGGCAGCAGGGAAAGCAGCAAGCTGAGCAGGCCAATGGACGATTCAAATGAATGACCTCTTGCTGGTAATTGTCGAAAATTTTCATATCGAAGGGCCGTGCCGGACCACACATGTTGCGTGTGCAGCAGTCTGTGTCCTCCACCGCATAGTAGACCTTCTGGCCGAGAGCGTTTTTGATTGAGAACTTATTGTTGGTCTCGAAGCCAGTGAAAGCTTCGAGCAGCTCCACTTTCTGCTTAACTAAGAGCTGATCTATACTCGTAAGGTATTCCAATCCGCGCGGACAGTTCGGAATGCCTATAGGTATACTCATCCAGTCGCCTATTGAAAAATAACACAAACACATCATCAGTCCAAATACACTTAAGTGGAACATTCTTGCAGAATCACATCAACATGTGCCAGATGTAAGCACCGACCGCCCACAGAAGCGTGTCAATTGGTCAATGTCGTTGTCATCGTGCCAATTGCTCAACGTCACAAATAGTATGCCTAATTGAAGGCATTTCAATGGACGAGCCACGAACCCGGGCCGCAGCGGTTTATTGTGCCTTTTACGCCACTCAAATCCGCCTTTTATCTAATCGTATTGTGGCCTTTGAGAAGATAATGTTTACGACAGTCCCAATATATCTCTGGTCCATGCAAATTTATAATTTCATCACAATGACTTATATAAATTATAAAGTTCGCTATCTTTGGCGTGTCTATTAAGGCACCTTTGTTATCCCCTTGAACAGATATGTTGATATGTTCTGACATAACCTTGGAGTGTTAATTGCACACGAGTCAAACTGTCTATTATGTACTTTGATTTGTCTCACCTCCTGTCTTCATCGCTTATATAGAATTCGTAGCCCTTTCGCTTTGCCGACTTATTCAGCCGCATTGTGTGCCGAAACTTTTTGGGCAAGGGCTTGTTGGCCTCGCGGCAGACCAACTGCTTCAGCGTCTGTGATCTCGTGCAGAAATAGTTGTATTTGCTGTACAGTGAGTGCCAAATGAAGCGTAACACCTTCGAGCCACTGCTGGCGCCATTAGGCGTCGGTTCCTTTTGATCAGCCGACTCGTTTTTAGTCAGATCCAATGTCGAGATGTAACTAGAGCTCGATGCTGGAACTGGAACCGTTACTGCGGTTGGAGCTGACATCGCACACTAATCAAGATTCAAGTTGTCGCGACTGCTCTGGATGCTGCACCGAACTGAACTGAAGCGTCTGCCTGGGAGAGGGTCCACAAGTTGACAGTTGCCAGCGCACCGTGCCGCAAAAGTCATCGTAGTAAACATAACCGAACGTGTTTTAAATAGCGATTTGTATTATTTTATTGGTTCAATTAAAGCAAACGCGCCGCGTCGTGATAAGAGCCAGCGGGTTGGCTTTGGGATGCATACAGCTACGAATAAGCGGCGGGGTCTTTAGCATGTGGAAGAGCAAACGCGTTTGGTGTGTCAACAACATCATCTTGCTGTTGATACCAACGTCAGTGTCACCGCCCATCTGGGTTAGGGACAGACAACTCGAAATCTCGCTCACACCAAGAATGTAAATATTTACAGCTAGGTTTTGGGTGATAATAGAAAACTACTTTGTATTCTACCGCTTGAACCCCCCCTCCACAGCTCTCTTTAACCAGCTCGACACGAAGTTGCATTCCTCCCTGCAACAAGAGAAGTTCAGTGCCAGAGAATATCTGTTCTGGCGGTGGACTTGCTATTATCACATTTAGAGTGCATTGACACCAATTGTCAATGTGGAAGATCGGTTATTGAATGATTTCTTTTGTCTCAATTATTTCAGAGAATTCTGATTGTGATCTTGCACTTGTTTTCAATGTTGGCATGGCGCTCCCAAATATATACGTGTACATACGCGTGTTTATTGATGTGGGTTTCATTAGTAGTTGCAGCATAGAAGCCCATGTCTTATTAAGAAAGCAATAGTAAAACTTACCTGCTGGCCCCATGCCGGGTTGCGGATGTGCAGGTGGCATCCCTGGCTGACTTATAATCGGTTTCTGAGGTCCTGGTGCATATCCAAATGGTTGCGGAGGGCCAGTTGGGCCGGGTGGGTAGCCATAAGGCTGTGCAACGCCACCTGTACCGCCACCCCCGGCGCCAAAAGGTGCTGCTCCTCCATAGGCTTCTGCGTAGGGCATTTGAGGTACTGGCGCGTAACCCCCTGGAGGTGGTTGCGGAGTGAAGCCCTAAAATTAAGAATACGATCAAATAGGGGCGTTCTTTTGGCCTTTCCAATGGTGCGAACTTTTATACCACTCGCTCAATACATCATATCGGCCCTGGTTAATATATTATTGCTATAAAATGTTTGCAATGAAATAATTATGGCTTTAGAAATAGGTCATCGGAATAAAAACCAAGATAAAAAATAGTTTTCAGCTCGGCGAAGAATAAACACCCCCTAAACAAGCGGCTTTAAAATGATTTTATAGAAAAGCCTTATTCCCGTTCGATGATTTCTACAGAAGCAATATTATAGTTTTGCGGTTGTATGGACCGAAGATCTTTTTAGCTCAGAGTGGATAAAATATCTTCAGCAGATAAGTTTTTTATACAAAAACTCATCCGACTCTTCCTATAGAGCTCAATAATATTGAAGTCCAACGCAAATAAGACTTTGCTCATATGTAATTAGCATGGTTATATCTTATATGAAAAGTTTGATCAAGGTATATAGAAAACTAAAAGTTGTCCGTACAAGAACTCAATTTTCGACCGATCAGCTATATGATACAACTGTCCGATGTTGCTAAGATTTGGCATATATGAATGTAGCAAAGTAGTTTTCGACTGATCGTAACGATGGCAGCTATCTGACAGAAAGATGGACCTATGCGAAGTAGCAAAACGATAGATTTAAAACTGAGAGACTGGTTTGCATAGAAAAAGACAGGCGCAAAGGCGAACATAGCCATATGGACTCGAATTTTGAGGCATGCATATGTACAAACTTCATGAGGTCGGACATTTTTCAATGCCTTACACATTTCATGGCAAAATTAGAATACTCTGTAAGAGGGTATAAATCGAATAAGTTGTTCATACACAAACTTAAATGATCATCCCTTTAAAATAGTCCGCTCTGACCGATTGACATATGTACTGCCTGCAACAGAAAGAAGGATGTATTCACAGATTCATTACAAAGGATTAAAACTGAGACTGACAAACCATTCAAGCCGAACAAGAGTATATATATGCTTTATAGTGTAAGCGACGACTTCTTCAATGCATTACTAATTTCATGACACACTTATTTACACTTAACACGAATGTTACAAATGCATTTACAAAATCGGCTCTGAGTGTGATGAAATTGCAGCAAAATCGGAGCAACCTAATTGTACGGTGGGTCTTGCCTATAACGAACTTCAAAAATATATGAGTCGAATTGCAGTGTTATTGAACGTTGAGATAAGGCACGATAAATAAACACGCAAGCTCAAGCATGACGTCAGGCGAAGGAATGTGTACATATATACATACATACATACATACGTCTGTATATGCAAATGTATGAATATATGTGTGTTGACAACGCCCCCAATACTCGTGGGTACTCACATAATTAGCTGGCTGTGGTGAGGGTGCTCCATGTGGCACCGGTGGATAGGGCGCGTTTGGTGGTGCATATGGAGCTCCCTCGGCTGGCGGTGCATTTGGTGGATAGTGACCAGGCGGCACATATCCACCTTTATTAATATTATTCATGTGCATCTTGCTGCGGCGGTCGCCGTTGTGCGATGGTGTTGCAGGTGGTCGGATGCTGCGTTTCCGGGAAGCACGCCACAACTTGCTGCTGCAGTATTATATATTGGCATTAAGTTGCACATAAAATTTGCGATAATACCCACCGCTTTTAATTCGACTTTAACTTTATTACAATACTTTCTCGCACTTAACTATTAATGCGTCAAAAATAATAAATCAGTGTGACCAAAGTCAGCAGCCACAAAAATACCAACGCCGCGACTTGCAATCGACTACAATATCGATATATACTAGATCCAGCTTATGTAGATTTCCCAAACAAACAGTAAGTGGCGCCACACCGCATTTACCGATTTTGATTTTCAAATATAGATGGCGCTATCAAATTTAAGAGATTTAAATTATATTCATTTGAAAACTTAACAGCTTTTGTTTTTCTTATTGGGGATAGAAAATTTTAATTTAATTGAAGCAGATGTTGCTTTGATTTAAGCTTTGAGCCGCGCAAATCTTATTACATATTAATTATTTATTTAATTATCGTCTTTCGAACTTTATTGTCAAGAATTGTTGCCATGCAAATAAACGTACAAAATACTTTTATCTATATTTTGTATCAACAAAAGCCGCCATTTTTTATTTTTTTTATAACAGACGGCAAAAATACACAGCCCACATTTTTTCTAATGCGCAAATTCTGTGCGAGGGTGCGAGTGCGTCAGGGTGCGGGTTGGCCGGGGCGAAGGCATGAGAGAGATGGAGAGAGCTAGGGAGAGAGATGTGAGACGGCTGCCAGAGCGGCTGAGAGGGTGGCGTAGTTAGCGCGCATAAAAAATGGCGGTTTCCGAAGCGGGCAAACAGGGAAAAAACCGTTGGACGAGGACGATTCGTCCTGCAGCCAGCGCTGCCCCCGCTGTGTGTGTGTGTATGTGTGTGTGTGTGCAAGCGAGAGAGCATAGTAGAAAAAATGCTATAAAAAAAATATTGAAAAAAATGCGAGCAAAATCCACCCCATGGCAGCGGGACAGAAAACAGACGTCACTCACACACACACACACACATACACACTGGGCCTTCGTAATTACCAATACAAATGCAAAGCGCACGGAGAAATCATCATCATCAACATGGCCACCTCCAGCCGCACCCACACGCCCACCGCTATCCGCAGCCGCCCACTTCTGGGCTCTGCTTTAGATTTCCGACGCTGGGGGCCACAGAGCAAACCCAAAGCCAAAGAAGAAGAAAAAAAGTCGTTGAAATGAGCGCCTTAATGCGCCATATAACGCGATATTAATGCAGTTGCAGCTGTGTGTGTCTGTGTAAGTGTGTGTGTGTGAGTTTAGCACATTCAATTAGTTGCCATTGCTTTTGCATGGCAACAGCAAAAACTACAACAAACAGGCGAGTCAGAGAGCATTTTTGCGGTTGGCAACCAACACAAAAGCTCCAGCTGAACGGGCGGCCCTCAGCCCCACCCACATGACCTCGACCTCAACTCTTTGGCCAGTCCCAGCAGTGGGACTGCCTATGGCGCCAGCGCTGCCGCTACAGTGCATTCAAAATCTTGAAAAATCAGGCAGCCGGCAAACATATTGCCGCTGCAGAGGCACGTTCAATGCGGGTGCCGCTCCTCTGCCCCTGCCCCAGTCCCTGCCTCTGCCATGCTGTCGCTTCATTGTGTAACAAACTGCAGGCGGTGCAGGGGCAGAGGCAGGGGCAGAAGCTCAGCCAGAGCCAAAGTTGGGGGCAGGTGCTCAGCTCGTGGCAAAGGCGAAGGCAGCCCTCGAGTAGAAAAGATTCCTCATCTCTGAGGAGCAGCTCATTAGCCGCTGTTTTTCGCCTTAAAACATTGAAAACTACAAATTTGCTGTGCAACTTTTTTGTATCATTTTGTTATTTATTGTCAGGCCGATCAAATTTATCTGTGTGTGTGTGTGTGTGCTTGGATCTCCGTTATCGAAAGCAAAACTAGCCTTCGCCGAAACGGCCATAAATCAAGTCTCAAAGATCGCCTCAGACACTGTCCCAGTCCGATGTCTTCTAATGTCCGCGCTGCCAATTGATCGATGGCTCTTGAGTTGGCTTTTTGCATTTTTATTGTGTGGCCAACAACTCGAAAGGGCCGGGACAGCGTCTGCCAATACCAACAACAACAACAGCTTAGCCGGCAGAAACATCTGCTACCATGTGGCATGCCCGTTGAAGCTTCAGGTCTGACATATCAGACATGTCCCGGGCCCAAAGATACTTTGGCGCGTGTTCCAAGGAATTCGCGCGAAGCGTTTAAATAATTCGCATATAAAGGAGACTGTGTTAGGAACTTAATGTGGCATATCCGAAGCCCAGATTAAATCGAACTTAAAAGCGAAAAACATCCACAAAAGAAACTTAGGTAAGCTACCTACAACTCAGTTCCAAGTGGGCTAGATTGAATACCCTTTGTAAACTGTAATACAAAGTGAAGACTCTCCAGGGCGGACAGCGACGGTCGGGTGACTTCTGTCCGCTGGACTGATCTATAATGACTTGAGAGAAACTGTCCACCCAAGTGGAGTGTCCACCCAATAGTTATGTCCTTTAAGAGAGCTTTCACTGTATTTCTATGCCTAAATACACGACGAATTGATTCATTTTGAACCATCTGTTCCTTTATAAGTCAATAGTTCGATGCTAATAGGCAATGTTTGCAGCCAAATTAAGACCCTAGTTATTATGTATATAGTATGTATCAATTCAAATAGATCCGGATCTATGCACCGACTCAGCAATACTCTGTTGACAGTCCCCGATTATCGACTTAATCAATCGATAGGATTATTATTCATTATTACATACTTTCAAACTGGAGTCTTAATAGAAGTCAATTTTTGGAATTTTGTACAGGAATGAATTTCAGAATAGTCTATCGGTCACTCTTGAGGCTGAAGCTCTCAAAGTGTGGTATATATAAGAGTGGAGAGAGTGGACACAATACGCTAACAGTTTCTGCAACACGGCATAGTATCCAGATATGGAATATGTTTCAAGTTTCTAAAAGGAATTAAGTACAGCGGACAAACGGATCAAAGGCAATTTACCGCTGCTTAATTTGAATGCGATATAAGCCTTCTGCCGATGTACTCAATGGCTAGGGCTTGAGTAAGATCATGATTGAAGGACACTCGAAAAACGCGCTGTCAAATAAAATGCACATTGCGTTGGGTCAGTGCTGCATGTTGCATGTGTGGGAACTGTTGCAGACAGCTTAAAAAAAGAGGAAACAACAACAACAAAATATGTCAATGTGAAGGACAACAAGGACAACAATGTGCGGGAATGGGAACTGCAACTGCATTTGGTCAGCCAACGAGCGCAGCTGCTGCCGGCCAAATAAAACCAAAACAAAGGATGCCCGAGGTCATCTGCACATATTGGCAAGGCAATGCAATCACGTAAAAGAACGACCGGAAATGCATGCACACGTACACACACACACACACACACACACACACACACACACACACACATGCACATTCAACGACACCTGTGATAGCGCGGACATTGGGAAGCTTCGTTGACCTGGGTCAGGGCTCGCTCTGCTTTTGGCCGGTTCGAATGAAAGGGTGAAAGTGTTTTTAGCTTAATTACTTAATTAGCACTTGGCTAGGCGTTTGTTCCACTGCGAAGGGTCAGAGCTGGACGTAACTGGGTCAGGAGCGGCAAAGCTAAAAAAGGGCTTATATACAACGCAAATCTTAATGAGTTTTTATGTTATTTTATTTTCATTTTCAACCCGTTTAGCCCGTCCTTTGGTCCGTTTTGTAATTAAAAGCACAATGACCCGACCCGACCCGACGACCCTTTTTTCCGGCACGCACTTGGGGCAGTGGCAGGGGTGGGTGCAGGAGTGGGAGCGGGATCTGTGGGGTTTCTGAGCTGGCGCGCAATTAATTATCGAGTGTTGAACTTGAACTTGGCGCCCCGAACAAGACAACAGCGAGGCGAGAAGTGGGCTTTAAAGCAAGCAAGACGTTTATTGATTTTACCATAGAGAATTCTAAAAAGCCAGACAGAGACAGGGAGAGACAGAGAAAGCGCGCGGAAGGGAGACGGCGACTGCTCAGTCTGGTGGCCACATGTCATGGCCAAAAGATTTAAATCAGAACTGACAGCAGCACAAAACACGACTCGGACGAGCTGGTTGTGTTTTAACCCCTTCGTTTTGTGCTGTACTCAAACCCCGAAGCGCTGTGTGGACTTTGGGCAGAACTTTGACAGGATGCTGCTACACGGTAATTGCTTATTTAAGCGCGCGCGTTCGTCCTTTTACGGGATGCCAGGATGCTGGCAATGCACAAAAAACGCGCACAAAACAAAGCAAATGCCGCGTGTAATTATTGGACGGGTCGGAGGGCAGGTCGAGGGGCTGAGTAGCCAGCCAGTCAGCCAGTCAGTCGGGCAGCTGTCTAGAGGGCCTCTGACCAGGACCAGCCCGAAATGAACTGCAAATCAAACAAGAACTCAACGCGAACAGCATGCGTGCATATTAAAAATGTTTTAAAATGAAATTTCGGCAGCGGCGACTCTTTTTTTCTGCTTTTTATGTCGAGCGCCTCGCAAAGGGTTAAGGCTTTTGTTGTGCATCCAACTGTGAGCTGAGGTCCTGTGATCCTGTATGCTACATGTGTGTGTGTGTGTACGTGTGTGTGTGCGGTCATGAACGGGTTTGCAGCTGTCGTTATCTAGTCTGGGCTATCGCCAAATAGCACTGCTTGAGCCGAAGCCAAGGGTCAGCCGCGGGGTTGATCGACAAGCTGTGCGATGGACGATTTGAGCAGCAGGCTGCAAGGGCTTTTTGGGGTTTTTACAGCCTGGCGCGTTCGGTTAGCCGATAAACAATCTGGCTGAGAAAAAAGGCCAAAGAATAGCAAAAATAAATCTAGCCACGTCTGTTAACAACTCAATAATAATAACAATTGCAGAACAGAAAAAAAGCCGCTGCTTGAGCTGTGGCCATAAATTATAACGAGTTTGCCGTTTGGTGGGCATGAACAAACACACACGAGCGAAATATGTTGAAATATTTTTCAATTTTAATGACACCAAATGAAGGTAGAGCTCGAGCACCGAGCACAGAGCACAGAGAGCTTGGCCAACACAAGAAATAACAGAAATTATTGTCAATAATTACAATGCGGCATGGGCTGGTCTTTGACGCGTTTGACAGACGGTAGGAGTTGAAAA